ATAGCCTTGAACGCATGAAATATTCCTTCAAGCTAAAACCGATTTCTCATGTTCGCGCAAGGTAAAAATTATTTTCGTCTCTATTGCCTGATAATGATTGTATTATCAGCGTTAAAGACGATGGTTCATTGAAATTAAGTGCTTCGAAAAATTCTGGAAATAATTTATGTACGCCATGCTAAAAATATATCGTTTATGTGCCTTTCTAAGCAACACGCGTACTGTGAGAAGTTTTTTTTTTATACGGTTTATATGGTTTATACTTTATATTTTCTCTTCCCTCCTTCCTTTCTTACGTATTATTTAAAAACTCGGTAGGAGAAAAGATTTTGAGATAAAAAATTTTGATCGGCGTCACGGTATATACTTTACAAAAATTTTTCGCATTATTTTCGCATTGTTATACAGGTTATACGAACAAAAAAAAAATAGAGATTGCAAGATTTTAGTTAAAATTATTCAACTTTTAGTTGATATTTCCAACCGAAGAAAAATACCCTGACTTTTTCCGCTTTTCCGAGAAAGAGCTGACAGCCCGAGAATTACGAAAACAGTCAATGTTTACCGGCCATGTTTTTTGTCTTCCAGGTGCTTTCATTAACAATGACGTGGACGAGTGCGTGTTATTAAAATTTGCAAAAGTTTTTGTTACACATACCCGTACGATGTATCCGCGGAGCGAAATAAGAGAAAGAAAATATTATGTATACGTATATTATGTTGGGCTACTAAAATTCATTTGTGCAACGAAAATAGAGATTAAGAGATAAATTAGAAAGATCTAGAGAAAGGCCTAGAAATCGCACATCTCTCTCAATTTTATATATCATCGCGATGATGACAGAATATTTTCCGAGGAAAGGATTTTCCGGCGTAATTATCCGAAGCTGTTGAAACGTTGATTTTTCAAGAAAGTCTACTTTCAATTATCTAAATATGGTATGGTTAAGGAAATATCCCGGTAAGTTCCGGGACACCGTGTATATATATGTCTTTTTACGGCACACTTTTCACAGCTCCATCCGGTTTACATAGATACTTTTAACCCTTCACGTACATCCAGGGCGTGCAAATAGCTTTTAGGAGGCCACCGTTGCCTCTTTTATCGACGCAGCACGATGTTCTGTGCTCTGGCGAAGTTTTTTTTTTAAATAAAGAGTAAATTGTACTTCTTACGGCGCATGTAGCAAAAACGGATGAAATGACAACATCGAGCTGAACGCATTTTCTTTCAATTACATTTAATGCCTTTGGGACGGCGGTTTCTTTGTCGAGCATGTTAAATTCCATTAAGAAACTTGCTAACGAGAAACGTTGACTCTAAGCTATGATAAACTGCTTGAAAAATCTGTACTCGAGTACTTTAACTATAGAATATTTATAAATATTTTCATATTAGAAGTTGCTGTTTTAAAAAAATTTGTTAAAATACATTGGGGAAAAAAAGGAGAAATGGAGAAAATGTTTACATTTAAAATATCTTTTCAAAAACAAACGTTTAATAAAATACATTTTAGCTTTAAATGTTTTAATGTTTCAACATTTTAAATCCAAATATCATGGTGTTTTAATGATTGAAAACGCCCAAAAGTATTCTATGTGTATTCTTCTTTTATGAATGTATTTATTTATTTGTTTCTTTAATAAAATATAATGAATTAGAACTAAAGAGTATCAATTAATTAGAATTAATTTAAATATTTAAACATTTAACAGTACTAAATAATATAGATATTATATTATTAACACAACATTTAAACACACTAGTGGATTAACATTCGATTGAATTTAACATCAAGAAGGTATTCTTTTGTTGTTAGCGAAAGATGATAGGTACGCACAATATAGAATAGGTTGCAATTAATTAAAAAATTCAAGTTAAGATTAAAAAATTGCTAACTTGAGTAATAATCTCTCTTGATATTTCTGTTCCTGATGGAAAGATCAACTCTAAATTGGTCAAAGAATTCGTAGATGAAAAGTGGCTCCACTAAGGTCTAGGACACCATGTATAAAAGAGAGTTATTAACTTGAGCCCGGGAAGAGTAGCCGTATTCGCTTTGCTGTATGTATTTCGCTAGAGAATTTAATAAGCTACCTGCCTTCCCTTCCTCCACCTCTCCCTCTTCTCTTCTTCTTCGTCTTCTTCATCTTTCCCATCCATCGTAGTGGAATGCATTCGATGCTCGAAACAGCACTTTCCGCTAACTTATAACCCATGGCGCATAAACGATCCGCTGCAATGTTACTTGCGCTCATAAAAAAAGAGTTATTATAAAAGAGATGTTATGAAACGATGTCTGGTATCTTCGAGCGTATAACAGGTTTTAAAAGCTGTATTCAGATAATAGAGATATTACTTTAGATATAAAGCAGAGCGGAGTTGTACCACTTTTTGATGCATTTCTCACAATAATATTTATGTTTCTGAACAGCACATATTGAATATTTAAAGATTGCGTTTATGTTCTCAAGGAACAATCATGATTGTACAATGTAGTTGTAAACACATCATTGCAAAGAGATTATTAACATACTTGTTGTTGTAAATTTTCATATTATTTTAAAGTTGAAACAGAATAGCCCCGTCCTATACTACATACAATAAATACTAAATATTTATTATTTACAGTAAAACCTCTTATATGTGTATAAATTCTTTTAAATATACAGGATGTTTGAAAAACTATTCAGCATTTAGGTATATGGTGGATATAGTACACATTATACTGAGTAAAAAGGTTTTAATGAACAAAGGTCGGAAAGCTCAACCGTTTCTGAGATATAAATAATTTTGTATGTTAGTGTTATAACTTATATATATACTTTCTACGTGTCATATGCGACTTGAAGATTTACCTCGGTGTTTACAAACCGCGCTCTGACTGTTCTGATTCAATTTCCATACATACATTTTTTTTTTATAATGAAAAATTTCACCTGGAATCAGTATAGTTGGCATCAACCATTATGATTGGATAAGTATTACGTGAGATCACTTTATTAGAACCTGTAATTCTCTCTTTAAATAAACTATCAGTGCTTATCTCAATTTCTCTCTTTTCACGACATATTATATAAATGCTGAATGATTTTTTAACACCCTGCTTTTACATATTAGGTGTAGTAAAAAGTCATCGCGTATTTTTTAGCTCAAAGTTGTATATACAATATCTTCGTCAATAATGAATGAAATTCAAATTTAAAAAGAGGGTTTTAAAGCTTCAAATCTCTACTTTTAAAAGCTTATCACATTTTTTAAGTTTATATGAGTTTGATAATTTTTACATACCAAAAACTACGAGCTGAAAAAGACGAAAAATTTTCTTCTCACTTTGTGGATTTGTAACGTGTCCAAAACGAATTTGAGAAAATTTTCGATTACATATCGTGAAAGCTTGATACTTGCCCTACAAAATCGTATTTTTTTAATATTCCTACGACTTTTGATTACTGAGTTATCGCGGATTAAATAAAAGAATTATTTTGACTTTAATTGCTCATAACTCCATTAAAAATTGTCGTATCGTATAATTTAAAAAAGAGATTTTTAAAGCTGAAACTTTACTCTATTAAGATATATTTATATTGTTGGTAAGAAAGTAATTGCGGTTTTTACTGATAGATGTCTTTTAAAAAAACGCGATGACTTTTTACTTAACCTAATATATGCAAATGTCATCTTTTGACATTATTATTATTAAGCAAGTGCGTGCACGGGACACACGTGTACTTTTTTATTCTAGATAATATAATTTATAACACGCTTTTTTTACAGCTTTTATAAAATTTATGTTTGTGTTTGTATTCATTAAGCCATAATGGTCTCATTTAAAAGGATTGGAAAGGTCTCGTTTTCTAACGAACGCGTTTGTCCTGTGACATAACGCGGTTCGTATATTAATTACCTACTGAAAAGCTATTGTGCAAGAGAAATGTCCTTTCAATGCGCGTCTCTGGCTGTGTCACTACCAAAGTTAATGAATAAATGTAAAGCTAGATAGTGTTGGCAAAATATTGTAGAAAAAATATGAGGTGGACTATGAAAAAGAGAGAATTTTCCTGATTTATTTTCTGTAATATAAATATGTCAACGATATGTAACATTATACATATATGTAGACAAAGAGAGCTCTGATTCATCTGCTTCTAACTAATACATTTATTCTCCTGCACGGTACGTTCGCTATACTAATTATTTCGACATTGTTCTCGATCCACGAATACCACGTTGTACGCGCAACGTTTGTTAATTGGTCACAGCAGCATTTGATCGGGTTCGAGCAAACAGACCGGTTTGTTTGTGTCCGAAACGCAATAACGCACTCAACGTGGTCGCGTTTCAAAACTGTGTCTTTCTCTCTCTCCCTCTGTCTCTCTTTTAGAGAGATTTAGTAAGATCCAATATT